GGGTCTCCTCTGTGTCTTCCCTAGGAGGCTACACAGGTGAAATCCTGTTGCAGCAAAGTCTGCTGCATGAACATTCCAAAAGAATGAATCAGCACAGCGCTTCAAAGTGTAGTTTCCCTGAAGTGTAATTTAATTCTAAACAATAAAAGATGCCTTCGCTAACATGCTGGAGTACAGAGTGCCATCATGGTTCCGTGATTTTTTTCCCTGGGTTTTGTCACGATACATTCCTGTTCCCGGCAATGAAAATTACGTTTTTTTGCCCCATTTCTAGCCCCACTGATCCGTGATGTATCATCTTACTTGTATTTAAGACATTCCAATCACCATGGCAGAATTTCCAAACCCAAAGGCCAAAAAGATGCACCAAAGCTTCCTTCTCTCTTCTGCCCCCTGCTCTTCTCTCCCTCTCACTAAAGGCTTTGAATCTCAGTGACAAAAGTGTCTGAAAGGGGAATGGAAAAAAGCAAAAGCCTTTAAATTATTTGCTCTCTTCCACTGGTTGTGCTATCTTTGCAGAGGCAAAAGCCACTTTTTTTTTTTTTTAAAGCACTAAAACCATACCTATCCAGTAGCTGAAGTAGTAGCATCCAGAGTTCTGTAACTCTAGGGGACTGGTGGGATAGAGACTGCCAAAGATTATATTCAGTCATGTTCAGTCAAATAGAATTTTCATCATCTAGTCACTTTACCTAAAAGAAATACCCTGTTCAATAAAGCAGTAGAGAGAAATCATTTTCTAAACACAAGTGGTGATGCGGCGCCGCTCCGTCAAAGCCCTTTACTCCCACATTACTGTATCTGCAAGCTCCACTCTGCAGACATGAAAATCAATGTAACAATTCAATGTACAAGGCGAGGCCTATGGCGCGGCTAATGTCCCCTTGCTGGACATACACCTTAAGTCTCAGAGCTCTCAGGAGGTTTGCTGTGGAATAAAATTAGATTCCAACATCTGCCACCATTAAGGAAAAAATTCCATTTCCATCTCCCATATGAAAACACTATAACCAATGAACAGTAACTGAACCTTGATACCGTAATGGTTATTACCCAAATCAACTATTTTTTTTTAAACAGTAAAATTAGTGAATTCTGCTCTCATAATTATTTGAATGTTATCAGACTAAATGTTTGATAAAATTCCAATATGATTCACTTGGAAAAACTGCTGCTTATTTGAATACCCGGAATATAAAGTGTATTCATTTGTAGCTATTCACATTATGTTTAAAGCAGATCATCTTTTTAAAGTTTGCATTAGCCTGCTTTCCTACCCAAGCACAAAAAGTAGCCTACCTTCAGTTTTTACTTGCATATTTTATTCAGATATTTCTATTAGAGTTAAAAACAATCTCATTTCTATTACTCATCAAAGAGAAGATAGAATACATGTGAAATGGTGGAATCCACAGACTTGGTTTCTTTTACTGAAAATACTTCGTGCATTAGTCAGTACATAGCACGACTATGATGTGTCTGGTTTCATAACATTCTGGGACTATAGAAACTTTAAAAAAATGATTATGCTGCCTGCCACACAGGATACCTACCTAAAGCTTTACCTTTTAGTCTAAAATGAAAAGTATTTGAGATAAATACAGAGATAATAAATAAGTCACTCCGTGTAGAGGTCTGAGCCTCTTGCTTGGCACATTATAAGACGTTATCCATTTGTGTAGAGTGCTGTATAATTTAAAAGCTCTTCTGCATCTATTATAGCATATGATCTTCTCCCAAGAATCTTGGGCTCAAAAAGGTTAAATAATTTCTCAGTATTGTAACACCGTTATACAGACAGGACCATAGCCTACTTGGAGTCCTCTACCATGTATCTCCCCTCAGCCCGACTGGACATGAAAAAGCCTGGATTCCTAGGACCCTATGCTGATAAGAACCCGTATTCCATGAAAATGTCAATAAAGAAAGGAAAGCTCCAGCCGTTTCCTCGATCAGTTAGTCCAATTCCCCTAATGCCTCTTTCCCGGAGCAGGGTATTTAGTATTTCCTCCTAGAACCCTGAGGAAATACTAAAATAGGAGGACAGAGGAAGAGAACTGAGAGACTGGGGTTGGCTCTACCATTTGTGAGTCTGGTGACTCTCGTGTATAAAATGAGGAAAACAAGGCTAGCTCCAAAGGTTACTCTGAGAATTAAATGTAGGTCATACATAATGCACAGTGGGGTCTAGCACAAAGATGGCGCTGGACAGTAAGCCAACTCAGAGGACCAGAAGCAGATGGAGCGAGACGGGATGAGATAAAAGTGACTCCAGCTCATCCCTCTTCATACACGCTTCATTTTCAGTGACCTCTGCCTCACACTGACAAGCTGGGGCACATACATCTCAGAAGTAAATAACTCTTTTAGAAGTTAAAAATTTTGACCGCGAAAAGGTCAGTCTGATTTGAAGATCTTTTTTTTTTTTTTTTTTTGGTTTGTTTGCTAGTTCTGTTTCCTTCACAAAAATCATGGCAGAACAGAAATTAAACAGTGACTACTTTCCCTTGTTAAGTCTGACTTCTTCTCTCAGTGACATATACACTTTTTAGACTGCTTATTTTTAAGTAATCATCTATCTTTCTACATATTTTCATACTGCGGGTAGTGCTCACACCTAAACTGAATGACAAAGGGAAAAGTACAAAAATCCTCTGCTAGGAAGTTACAGGATATTAATAGTTAGGAATAACCATCTGAAAGAATGAAAGTTACCAATATGCTTGACCCCACTGCCAACAACTGGCTCCTTGGATTCTCTCAATCAGTAATGAGGGGATTAGCTACAGCTTTAGGGGTTCTGGGAAACACACCATCCTGGCAGGGACATAGAAGCTGCCAGTCGACACTGCTGAAAGAGACTCATGGGGAGTTTTGTAGGACAGGGGTGCAAACAGCAAGCAAATTTAAAAAACTCACCAGAACATCATTCACATGACATTACCAACCAATTGTTGCCACTGTCTAAACAGTTCCCAAATCAGTAACTCAGGCCAGGTGGGCAGATTTGGGGGTATCATTTAAAAGAAAGAAAGAATGAAGGTATAGCAAAGGGGCTGCTAACTGAAAGGAGCTATGCTATAGTCAGAAAGGAGATGGGGAGGCAGGAACTATGTCATTGGATTAAGTGACAGATGACAAGCAACTAAATGACAGTTATCGAAAAGTTTTCATATTTATTTTTGTTCGTTTTAAGGCTGACCCTTATTACAATAATACATGTCTAGTTTCTCTGTTTATCTATTTTTGGGATTTGGAGAAAGTGTTTGGCTCCGTAACAATACAGTCTGTTACTCTTGATAAATTTAATTGGACAGGTCCGAAAAGATGCAGGATCAGAAAGAAAGGCAAGATAATATACATTTGAATACGAGATCCTCATCATAATTAGACTAAATAGCCAAAACAAGAATGTGCAGGGTGGGTGGGTGAGGGGCAAAGTGAGAGCAGGACATTTCTCCTTAATGCATAGTCTTGGCATGTAAATGAAGACATCTGAAGAAGCACACAGGTTTGAAGCGGCTCTAACATTCTATCATAATTAGAAACATTTCAAGAGCCCTGTAATTTCCAATCAAAATTACAGTAATTTCCGATATACAAGCCATGATTCATGACAGAATTTTACATTCCATGAGAGATTACGGTGGCCTGATGTATGACACACTGAGTACAGCACTAACATAAACAATTCAGTTTAATGTTTAAACAGCACTTGATGTTTAGAATCTCACAATAAAAGAAACATATTATTGTAGAAATTATCACTTTGACAGTGATTGAAGGGTAGGCAGGCATGTGGCCTATAAAGCTATAATTTTTACAGTCCACAGCTTGAGCTTAATCATTTTTATATAACATTTCCAAGATATCCCTTAAGTATTTCATCCAGCCTATAACTTAAGAACAACCTTTTCTAAAGCAAAACCCCTATCAAGCACCACCATTAACGCCGGTAGAGAAAAATTTTAGGAAGAGTTTAAAAAAAAGTATGGTATAGTAAATGCAGCATATTGTAAATACTCTCAGAACTATTTTTATCAGAAGTTGACGGCAGCCAGGCTCTTTTATAAAGGAGAGTTCATTAATGATAGGGAAAATATATTTGTTTAAAATCGCAAGTTGTTAAAATCTCACCTGAGCCCTTGACTGCCTCTAAATTCCCACCTTGATAATGTTACCAACTATTGTTGGAAGGGGAAGACAGTTTAGTATTCTTCTGGTCCTTTAAAAAGCATTCTTGGTTTTGAACGAGGCTTTATAAGTAACTATAAATTTGTTCCTATAGATGACCCTGCTGCTTTTGATGAGCATAAATTTTCAATATATGAACATTACACTGATAAAGGACTGCATTATCTCTCCTTTGTTATGTTTTTATCTTGTTTGGTAGGGACTTGTAACTTTTCCGATTCAAGTCTATTCATTTATAATTCATCAGATTTGGACAGGTTTTCTAACTGTAATTCAATTTGTATGGCTTATATATCGTGCCATCTCTGGAAAAACTAAGGTCATTAATGTGCAAAGATACGTGTGGCGGGCGCGCTAGTTTGTTTTAGTAAGTGTACCTAATAGTTGTGGATGCCTGAGTTGGAACAGAAGAAACTATTACGTTTGTAGTCTTTTAGGATGGAAATTAAGGTCATCTGAACAATAATGAAACAATAGTAATTCAAGTTACTTGTACCAGTACAAAAGACCACGTTGAGAAACTGCCTATACATTACGATACTCTTCTGAAAACAACTATTAACTGACCCGAGATTTCCTGAGAAATCCCTGGTCTGGAGAGTGGGTGTTGGAGGAAACAAAACCACGCATCTACTCCCTGAATCTCAACGACACTTTGTTTCATCACAGAGCTCTGTCAAGGATCCTGGAGACCTTGCCCTCTCAGTGATGCGATGCAGGTCCACATTGCAAACAGACACCCCTCTGAATGAAATTTTCACAGGCATCGCAGATCAACATTCTCAGTGCCTCACCAAGGTTCTTACCTGGCTTTTGGTTGCTGCAACCTTTGCAAACAGTGCTTGGGACACTTTAGCGCGCTTCATTTCCTGCTGAATCTCATCATAAATGGAAGCATTAATGTTCATGGTATTGTTCTCTGGTTTCCCATTCCTCTCAGTGGCAATAGTAGCTGTTTTCACCTACAAAACATTTTGAACGTGACTGTCATTTTTCATTGGCCAAATTGTTTTGAAGCTTTTCAGGCTCGGCATCCAAACTGGACACTGTTGCTCCTTTTATGATCCAGGTGAGCAACAGTGCAGTCATTCAACATTAGTTATTACCCCGAGATCAGATTGCTTAAGTTAAGAAAGTCACATTGTCACAGGTGATTGCATCTATGATAAGAGCCACTGCCAGCTGACAAACAGGAATTAGAACGCCATAAAGTAAGTTTTCTGGAAAACAGAATAGTTTCAAAGACTTGAAAACCCTAAACTAATTGTTTCCCAATTACTGTCCATTGCAATTCTAACAAAGGAAATTCACAATTAAAATCATAATGCCCAGTGCTGTATCTTCACTGGGTGCCCAGTGCCTAACAGACAATTGCATCACTAATAGCTATTACATACTATGGCCTTTTTAATTTTAGACTCTTTTTTTATGCCTGTTCCTCTTATGTTTCATTTAAAAAATCTTCCGTAACAAAGCCATTTGCAGAGCTGCATATTTAAATCTTCTATCCATCCATGAAACAGGTAGAGTGCCTTGCTTAATTATCATAAAGGCTGGTTGCATTTTACACGTGCATGTCCAAGCTGTTCTGTATAATTATTTCATCTTTTCCTGGCACCCCTGTACATAACTATTTCCTTTTGACTTGTGGAACCAGACAATAAGAAAATGTTTCACAATATTTAACAGAACATTACTGCAAGTTACACAAATTATATAATCAGTGACTTTATAAATATATTCAAAATGAATAATCTTGAGTGAAAAATTAGTATCAATGCCTTTGGTAATAATGATAAGCAGGTATCAGCAGTAAAATGACACAAAATTTTGAGGTAAAAATAAAATCTCACCCTCAAAATGTCTTGATACTGTTATTAATTTTTAAAACTCCAAATTTAATTTTTATTATGCAGTTATGTGAACCAGCCTGGAAAATATACGCATGAACTATGTAGTTGCTTTTTCACTAGGAAATTGGTGAAAATGTAAACGAAAAGTTATCACAGATTCAGGACCCTGTTTCTCCCAGCCAGATGATTCACTGTGGACCACATTTCTTAGGATCCTTTCCAGAACCCAGGTTTCTGTTCGCATATACAATGAGCAATAGAAAATGAAGTCCATTTTGGAATAAATGAAGGATTTCTTTTGTCATGAAATGATACACCCTTTTAGTCACGCTACAAGTCTTTTGGGTCTACTTCATTCTCCCCCTAATATTTGGTATCAAAAGACGGGCAGAGGTTATCCTAAGGAATTCGATCCTCTGCACTTAAGAGAGTGAACAGGAGTCTTTAAAACATGCCTTCTAACTTCTAGCCAATTAGCAAAATAACTCACCTCTTGCTTATCTGGAGGAGGCAGCTAGAGCTTTCCACCTGGACACTACCCTTCTAAGCACTGAAAGGAAAATGCTGTGAAATGAGTGCACCACAGGCCCAAGTGAAGACACAGAAAGTGTCACTTGCCACTGCTAAACTCTAAGCTGGAGACAGTGATGGCAAGTGTGTAGGCTCGATTTCCAGAGTCCCCCTTCTAGCTCTGTGGCTCCAGAAAGCAAGGGCACTCACGGAGGTAATATTAAGGACTGGAGGCCACTAAGAACATACACAGGGCTTTGAAGCAATAATCTGCTAAATACCACTTTAGGAGCCAGAAGAGTTAACGCATTACCATAAATTGCCTACAAAGTTGCTTTGGTGAGATTCGCAACTTTGCTCTGGGGTGGTCTTGCTTTGAGGCAGAAGGATAGATTTGATCACCCCATGGGGTCTCTTTTAATACCTATTTTTCTCACTGTTTAAATGAAAGAGAGAAGAAAAGCCATTTCAATCGCTTTGAAAATTGAATGTTATGGAAATGGAGGCATGAAGTCCAGTGCATTGGAAGAAATGGTTCCTTGGTAGCATCTGCTTAGCAACTGTTAAGAGAGCAGGCTTTGGAAACTTCTTGTTTCAGTATGTTTTTAAAATAATTTTCATTCTTTTGTAAAAACTATGTTTAAGAATTTATCTTTGAGGTGGGCTATAATCATTTGTTTCAACCCTGTGATTTGGTTTCTAAAAATTTCATTGTTTAATTTTTTTTAATAAAACAATTACAACTTGAACCAAAAAGAATTTCAAATCATAAAAAAAAAAATCAAATAACTGTTCCCTAGTAGCCAACATAATCAAAAGAGGAAAAGACATACACATGAAACTTAAAAATTAAAAAAAAGAGCAACAATTTTTTTAAAATATAAAGTAAGAAACTGTATTACTCATTTTAAAAATATTTAGAAAAGCTCTTCTTTATCATCTTGTTGGCTCAGATAACGTATCTTATCATAGATAAGCTATTAGAATTCTGGAATCACATTTTTTCCTAAACACAAGCTATTGCTTAAGGGGAACTGACTTGGACAGCTTTTCAAAAATATGAAAGCTGAATTTTTCCCCAGGTAAAAATGGGAGACAAAAATCTTTTATACCTCACTCTACTAAGTACTATTTTAGCTTAGTACAAAAAAAATCTTCTTTAATCCTGGTTTAGCTTTTAATATTATATCACACATTAAAATTCATAAAGTAGTTCATTCCAGGCAAAACAAACTACTCTTCAGCTCTTCTCCGCAAATAGCACAGGAGGTAAAATAAATGCAGTTGCTTTCCGAATAGCTTTTATCAAGGTAGGGCGCACTACTCCATCATTACAGCGGCGCCGGGGAAGTAGTGAGGAATTGGAGCTCCTACTCTTTACCCTCCCACGTGAGGAAAGGGTGCAAGCACTAGGGTCAGCTTTATTATTTCCCTAAAACTGTGCAGCAGAACACAAATTTTCCATGAGAATTCTATTCTGTTCCTTCCTGGATTGCTGAATGCATCAAATCATACTAGAAAAGGAACTCTAAATACTATATACATGCTACATACTACACATGTACAACACGAAACGAACTCTACTGGGGTCCTGATTGAACGTACTATTCCTTGATCGAGGAGGAACTGCCTGCAAGCACATAGCTCATGTGTGCAAACACACACGCATGCAATTAAAGTTTGATGTAATTTTAATAATAATTACAATAACAAAGGCTGGCATTTATTACCTGTTTCTCACGTGCTGGGCATCATGTTCAGGTACATTAGCTCTCACCTGCACAAAAGCCCTGAATAAGTACTATTATTGCCCCATCTTAAAATTGAGAAAACTCTCCTAAAACAAAAATTTATTCATAAGGCAACATGAGATCTAAACTGAAGTCTGTCTAACGCTAATGCTTATCTTAGAAACTACTGCACTGTACTGAAGTCATGATGTTATACAGGATTTCTTTATTGGGAAAAATTCCAACTTTTTAAAGACACACTGTATCTGCTTTTTGGTGGCCCTTTGCTAAATCTGGCTCATTAATGTCTAATTTTTAGCAAATGGCTTTGTCATTCATTTTACAAATCCAACCTGAATTTATTTATCAAGGTATGCAAACTATAAATGTTTTCTTGGTAATGTTATATAAGAAATGTGCTATTCTGAGGTATTCTTACTGGTGATAGAAAATGGTCCCCATTTTCAAATTTTTGTGTATTAACACTGTCTTGAATATCATGGTTCTATCTTTTTATACTTTTCTTTTTGTTCTTTTTAGGAACAACATTAATTATTTTCCAAATATGGACTTTAAAAAGTCTAGTATTTTAAAAGCATTTTATGAGCATGTAAGATCTTAAAATCATGCTGGCCAAGCAATTCATAACAAAACTTTTATCAAGTTCCTGCCCATAACTGAACCTATGTTTCATTACATTCTAGAAGACTTTGTTGGAAAGAGACAGAAGGGTGCAGCTCCTAGATTAATTATACATTGCTTATATGAACTTACTACATTTTCTAAAGCACTGTTATAAAATATCCCATCTTCCTTTAGAAGAAACTAAAGAATTACAGAAAGACATAAAAATATAAAGAAAAAATCATTATGTAATTCATGTAGAATTTATAACTTGATAGTCACAGGCTTTCAAACAGTCCTTATGGAAACAAAGTGCTAACTTAACTCCAAACATCACATATATTAAAACATAAATAAACAAAAAACATAAATAAATCAGAATAAGCACACACCTAAATAGAAATCATCAACTTAAAACTGATCTGTGGAACAGACAAGTTCCAGAAAGTAATCACTAATTATTATTAATCAAATCCCTCTTAGAAACTCATTCGTAAAATTTGCGAAGCATAATAAGAAAAGAAGCCTTTATAAAGGACCAGGGAGCTTTGGAGGGCTTGGGTTCCCCAACATTTTCCTATGAGCAAAGTTTGGAAAGGGTTATTTTCTCTACCATTTCAGAAACGCCCAACTGTCTGAAGTCTTCAAGAGTGGATCATTTGTCAAACATTTAACGTATTCTATCAGGAGAAGGTTCTCATATGTGTTCTTCCTAATCTAAAAATAAAACTTCCCATCCTCTGTGACAAACAGAAAAATTCCCCAAGTCTCATTTTCCCCTTTCTAAAGTGTTTGTGTTTTGAGGAGCTGGCTTGAGGTAGGAGAAAGAGCAAGAAACTTAACAGGGGATGTGAAAACGGACTCAACCTTAAATTTGGTTTTCTCCTCTTTCTCCAACCAAAAGACTGGTATGAGGATTCAATGAATTCATGGGCATGAAGGTGTTAGAGAACTGTGAACCATTATCAAGTACAAGATATTCCTATTTCTTGAATTAAAACATGTAACTTATGAAAATAGGCTTTCAGCAAACAGGTTCGGCCTGGAGCCTACTGCTGCAGACAGAGGACAAAGCTCACGGCACGGCTGCCCCTCTTGAAGCACAAGGGACAGGTCTGTACCAGAGGCATCTCACCTAGGCAAGAGCTCTGGTGATTTCTGAGGCTGGTCTAGATCTTCTCAGGGGAAGTAGTCCTTGGAATAAAACTTGGGGCCTGACTAAAAGCAGGGAAGTCTTTTCTTAAATATAATTTAGAATCCAAGTTCCTCAACAGTGTAGGTCTTCAGTCTGGTATGATCCGGGGAGGACATCTCAATCATCTTCCGTGTGACCTCAACTCTACAGGGTAGGAGCCGGAAGAGAAGCCAGCTCTCTTGGGCCTAAAGGTGGTCTAGATCTCCTGTGAGCCACAAGGGACCTCTGCCTTTTAAAAAGCAGTTCTTTAGGGGCAAATGGGTGGCTCAGTCGGTTAAGTGTCCGACTCCTGATCTCAGCTCAGGTCAAGAAAATCAGGGTTTGGGTCCAACCTAAGTCAAAGACTTGTCTCAAAATATGTTTTGAATCTCTTCATTTAAGGGGAAATGAAATACAATAATAGACTCCTCTTTGACAAAACTTAAAATTAAAAAAGACAAAATTCTGCAGTCTGTTTCTGTATTTGTCGTTTTGTCCTTTTTCCCCCTTCCATTTTAATCATTTGTAATATGCATATTAAAACCCTAAGTATAGTGTATTGGTTCCCTTTCAAAAGCATTCAATTTCAACGGTTGCAAAACATTACTAATTCGGCTGCTTGAGAAACATTTGTCCAAATCTTAAGTACTCATTTTACATTGATAATACTTTTAATACATTAAAGATTTCTTAAAATGTCATTTATAAAGTCACTGTTAAAGGGTAAAGGTGAACAAACTAGTTGTGAGTTCTATTACAATAATATTAAGTTAATGCAAAGGGATTCTCAGTGAGGCAAATTAAGATACTTGAAGATGCATATTATAGCAGTGAAATAAAATTATACACACATCAGATAATCATTTCGGAATTTGGTTAGATGGCCAGTAATACCGCATTAACAGAAACTTTTCTCCTTTGAAAGAGTTTCACTAAGAATCTGTGGTATCTACATACCTTACACATTCATCATTGGCTGGATATCCCAGCTAAGGGCTTGGTCTCAACCCCTCTTGAGAACAAATATAAGGGTGGCTTAACCAGTTAATCAATAATGCAGGCCAAAATAAATTATATTTTCTATCCCAACTTATCAGCAGACATAGTCTTTAGACACATATATAGGGGAGCTACCCAAGAGTATCTTAATAGTACATGAAAAGAAATACCATTTAAGAATTACTGTAAATGTGGCTAAAGAAAAAACCTGATGAATAAGGACAGTAGTATCTCATTTAGAAAAACAAAAGCACTGTGATCATAGAAAAATTAGAAAACAAAAACTGCATTAAGGAACTACTACGTCAAATATTTGGATAGATTAAGGAAAAAAAGAAAAAAGAAACAGCTCAATGCTGAAGTTCATACTGATCTTAAGAAAGCAATTCTTTTGTTAGTATTGCAGATTAAGTGATAAGTAAAATAACTCTTTGCCCAGAGGCCTTCTGTGTTGATTGTAGAAGCAAAGTTAACTAATGATGGTGTATTAACTCTAAACACCACAAACTAAGTGTTAAACCAAGTCCAAAGTACAGTATTTTTTGTTTAATCACTCTTAAAAAGTCATATATATATGTCATATATATATAAAGTCATATATATATATATCGTTCTTTCTCTTAAGAAATATTTTATAGAAGGCTTTACAGATCAAATTCAATAATTGTGTGTGTAGGCAGGTGGATATGTATATATGCAAATAGATAGCATTTTTCTCTGGTACAGACACATGACTTTCTTATCCACAATTACAGCAATGACTTCCTTACAGTCTGCGCCCTACACGTTAAGACCAAATTGATTTTCATTACATAAAATGGAGAAAACAGACTTTGGATGTTTCTACAGAAGATTCATTTCATAACATTATAACATAGAGCTTAAGAACCTCAAGTGGCTGAATATTATATCTATTCCTTATCGATGAAGGATCTGTGGCAGTTTCATTTTTAGTGCTCAATGTGCTTTTTCTATATTTCCATACATGGAAAGGTGTTTTGTTTCATTTTTTTACTGTTGATGAAAAGAAATTAACATCAAGATATGATTTCAGGATGACATTATACTACATGAATACTTTGAATCTGTGTTCCATATTCAATTTTTATCCAGTTTTAGCTGACCTTATTTTTAAGAGCTGTACATACAATAAATGTGTAAGAAATACATTTGCCTATTGATTTTAAGTCTAATATACTATCAAACTTTTATCTTTTTTATTATTGAATTTTCCTAATTATAAGGCTATCTTTAAAACTTGATTTAAAAAAATTAAAATACAGATGCACACACACAAAGTTACCTGCATGGTGACTTTTGTCCTTTCTAAAAAGTACGAAAATTCGGGAAATAGAAAATGTGCCCATTTCTGGGAATATGGGTGGAATTCCTTATCCGCCCCATTTAAAGCTGCCTTCAAGGATTGTATTAAACTTAATTATGAAAGATTACAAACGAGATGATGTGTAATTGGTACCAGCTGCACTTCGTATTGGAAAGCATAAATACAAATGGAATTACTTATTTATTTTTATTTATTTACTATTCAAATGGCAGTTCTAAAACTCATAGGGATAAAACTGACTTTATCACTTTTTTTCCTATTGAGTTTTAAATGTTTCTTTACTTAATAATTGTAGTTGAGACAAACATCCCATTTAAAGACTACTTTTCACCCCCAAAGAACCTCCAAAAGGAAGCAACACAAAGCAATTTTCTTTCCTCTAATTAGTAGCTTATTGTTTTTCTATCAGAATCACTGATTTGGGACCAACTTCTCCTCAAGCAACCCTATGAATTATTATTTTTAGAAAGACTGATATCTGCTCATCTATCTTTCCAATTTCTTGCTGAGATTCTTCCTCAAACATTAAAAGAAGAAGCAGATGAGGAGGAGGAGGAGGAAGGGAGGAGGAGGAGGAGGAGGAAGAAGAAGAAGAAGAAGAAGAAAGAGAAGAAAAAGAAGAAGGGAAAAGAGGAAAGGAGACTTCACCTGGGGAGGGCGGCTGGGCGGTGTGCTTATCAGGGGGGCAGGACCCATAGCCGAGGCAGCATTCAAGCTCCTTTCCCTTTCATCCTGGTAAATCCGATCTCTTTCAGCTTCTGGTAACTGCAAGAAATTCTGCATAGCCCGAAGGTTTACCAGCAAAGACTGGGATGCAGTCTTGGGGTCCTCTTCCTTGCGGAGGATTTCTGAAAGCAAGCCCTGCAGGGAATGAAAGGCACAGGGTGAGCTTGCTCCTGAGCTCTGCCCAGCCAGCCACCAGGGACCCTTCCCTCTCCTTCTCCACTCTGTTTAGAAAATGAATAGTCAGAAGCATTAATTCTACACAGAAATATGTGAGTTACAATTGAAGTGGTAGAGAGGAGAGCCTCAATTGTATTCTTAATTTTATTAAGCATCTGCTTTACATATAACACAAACTGAAACTGCCTAATTGGTCTCCTTCCTTTGAGTAGCTTAACTTACCATGAAATCTTTCACAGGGAGACGATCGATCGAGGGAAGTTAAGAATAAATGAAATGCTCATAATACAACAGCATTGAACTGTATAGTTCTCAAGCTGCCTAGACAAAGGCAGTGGAATGCCGACAGCCCAATATGTAAAGATACAAAGCCACTTCTAGAGAAGGAGAACTTTCAAAGAAAATACCAGAAAATGAATTGTAACATATTAGAAAAAAGAATACTACTAAAGCATGCTATGTTTTCACAGGCAATATTTGAAGTTATCCCTTAATTTTCAAATTAAGGACAAGTGATTCCTTCTACTTACCATTTAAGGAAACTCTACAGCCTACCCTGAATAATTCTAAATACTGTCATGCTATCACTATACCTCTGGGTAACAGGTTGGAATTCTGAACTTCAGAAAACCACTGATTAAATTTGAAATACATAACCCCATTTTTACATTGCAAAAATCCATCACGGCATGCCCAGGAAAAGAATACAATTAAATTCTGTAGTTGCCAAATTTCTTAAGGAATAGAAGTCTTTATTAGTAATAGAAGAAATTTACAAACCATTAGTAAACTCCTTTAAGGTGTCTCTCTCTCCCCAAATACTAGAGCATTAATTGTCAACCATTTTTTTTTTTTTTTGGAAGAAGCCTTTCAAAAATGAATGGGTTTCCTCATTTTTGTTTAAGGAATTATATGTAATAGAAGGATTACAAAAATTTTCTGCCCATTTGATAAGAGCTGAGCAGCCTTTACCTCTTCCATCTTGTACATGAAATAATGCCTGGAATACCAAGACACATTTGCTTTCTACATTTAGCCAGAATATCAGTTTATCACAAGATAGTTCCAAATAAAAATGTTGTCAAGATCTCCATGCCATTTGCAAATTTCACTTTCCAATAACCCTGCAGAAACGGTGAAAGGGAACATTTGGGGAAGGGGAGGCCAAGTGTCATATCAAAATGATTGAGACTAAAGATGATAACATTTGCATTTTTTCATGGTTTCCTAGAAGTGCAAATGTAGTTTTGTTCCTAATTCCTCAGGGATAAGGTACCATATTGCCCACATATAACACCTACATGCAGACAGAAGCACTGTCCACTTTAAAAATGGTTAATAGGCTGCTATTAAAAAGAACCTCCAATAGGCTGAGGGGGCTTAAGAGTAAATTTTAGTCTCTCACTTGTTCCTGCATCCAAAACCTGGAGAGTGGACCCAAACTTTCAGTTTCATCATTAAAAAATGTGACTGAAAAATGAAGGGTGCATGTCCTTTCATTCATAAGACTGACAAGTAATGCTGCAACTGTGTTTATACAAGAATAAAACAGCCAGTCAATTTAACTAAAATTCAAACAGGCAGTCAATCATCCAGCTATTTAATTTGCACAAGGCCAACTAATTAGATTGACTGTGTTTTTGATGTGTCACACTGAAACCGAAAAATACAGGTCTCAAAAAAATGCTTGAAAAGAGGTGTAAAAAAATAGTCCTTACGCTCTACTTTTCCTCACCAAATGTTCTATATTAAAAGATGTGCTTGGCAAAGCAATATATATGAATTACACAGAAATCAAGAGACAGAAATGTACAGTATAAATACAATGTTATCAATTCCTTGAGCATAATAACCTAATATTCATTTTTGTCATCCCAGCACAATACCTACCACATAAGTGTTTGATAAATATTTACTACATGGATTAATTATGTGTATTCAGACCGCAAAAGGAAAAAATTATAAATGACTGATAGAAACTTAAGAACAAGATATGCTACTCATGGGTAAATTCTAATGGTAATTCTTACTTTAATCAAGGTAAGGAAGGCTTCAATGAAAAGTTATGTGGCACTTTGTAAGACATTTATCTACATTAACTATTCAGTTAATTTAAAAAAAAAACACATTAGGTCAAAAGAGATCCTATAAATATTTAGGACGTTATTGTGTTTGGGAAATTTTAAATTAGACATTTACAAATCTCAAATAACAAAATACTGTATCATCTCCATTAAAAATGTTCTCTGAGACAGCAGAGAACTATAGTGAGAAAAGCAAACACATGAAAAAAATACATAATAATATTCTCTATCAAGTCTTGTTAACATGAAACTAAGTCATCCCTGCATGTCTAAAACTAGAAGATAGTAGGTCACCTGGGAGAAAATTTAAAATTTCCTCTACCCGTATTGTGATGTTGGTATGACTTCTCAGTTGAGCATATAAAATGTTTTAGGGGCAAAGCATTTATTTCCACTTAATTATTCTACTGCAGCAAGTACAGTTTTTCTGCCTGCAATATGTTAAAATCTAAAGCGGTATTTCAAATCCTGGAACACTCAACGAGCTCTAAAGCAGCCAGGCTAGACAGTGTCAGGTGTTTTAGAAACCTTTGGATTTTTTTTTTTTTTTTTTGGCCCAGGCTTTCAATGAGGGGAGTGCCCCCTGGTGGAAATGCTTGAAAATATTGTTAGAAAATGTTTTGATTAGAATGTGTTAATTACCCCCCTAAAAAAATTCATGTCACTTGAGAATAAATCTGGATGCAAAATGACTATTAGAATCTGAATATGAGGGATGCATGTTCTCGTCCTGTTCAAGTTGTTGTTATCTGAGTAGGTGCATTTACGGACTAAGATGTACATGGCCTCTGTTTCCCATAGTCAAAAATACACTTCAGACTTAGGTCAAGGTCATTTGTAGTAATCCCCCATGAACAGTAAGAGGTATCTATTACCAAAATTTTTCCTTCGTGCTAAAAAATCATATGTCAAGGTCATCATGTACCTTACTTGCTATCTCAGAGAATACACTAAAACATCAGGACTAAAACATATCAGTACTGTGCACCATAGGTGCTCAATGAATTTACTGAACAAAATCAAACAAAATCATCAGTCATTCTTGTACCTGAAAATAACTTGAGAATTTGTGTTACGTAGTAAGTGACCAACAACTCATGAATATTAATTTTATTGGAAATGAGAAGCTGCTTTTCATTTGGACTTTACATCTTCAAGTAATGTACTACGTGCTTTATACCTAAAAATATAAAATTATTCTGCACTGTCATTACACAGGGGTGAAGTGAGAATTCCCATTTTTTTGACTTAAAGAGTGAACTTACTGATGAATTCCTAAACCTTTTTTACATTCCAAAAAGAGTTTACAAGTTATTACAAGTAAAATTCATTAGTAATTGTAAAAGAAAGAAAAAAACCTTCAATAAATATTATCAGGACTTCCAAAAGCTAATTAGGAATTCTTTAAAACAGCAGATAGGCGAAAGAGACTGCCAATAGAACAAAAGGTCTGTCTGGCCTCCCGTTTGTCTCCTCTTTGAACATAATCACTGATTCAAATAGATTTTATCAGCTTCATGGAACTTCAAAGCTCTCAGAAGGAAAATATGATTTCATGAAACTTCCCTCTCTAAAAAGAAAATATGTTGAATATTCTTCAAGACTACCTGCCTCTCTTGTTTTGTGAATTTTTAATCACATGTCCAGGTGAAAGACTATTTTCAACTCCACCTACTACCTTGGACTCCTGCCAAGTAAGTTATAAGCAGACGCATTTATCTCTGTCGCTTGGGAGGCCAAATGAGAGCTGTCACGTTGGGGTAATAGCACCTTTTTACCTTTTATTCAATAGTGATATGGATAGTGGACTTTCCTTAAATTACACTGTGAAGAATTATAGGAACACAGTAGCAATTTCTGTTATACTTAAGCAGGCAAATTTCTCTCCACCACATAATTTACAGAACTCAAATTCAATAAAACATTACATGATGGTCCATTACTGTTATCAGTTTTGAATAATCCATCTTCATTCTTTATTTTACTGGAAAATAAAGTGTGCCAAAGACAAGAGGAGGGGGGAGAAAAAAGGGAAAAAAGCCACAGAATGGGATGAGAGTTAACTCTGGGTTTTATTAAAAAAAAAAAAAAAAAAGGCACTAACAAATATATTCGCTTCTATCACAATCCTTAAATAGCAATAATACAGAGAAGTGAACTGGAAAGTATAAATCTAGAAGCTTTGGCAATTATTTTTAGCCACAGGTTTCCATTAAAAAGACATCAAGTAGGCATAACTGAATGAATGACATATGCTAAAAGCTGGTATCTTCAGTAGCAATTAAAGAACATATGCCCATCAATTCAGAAGGGGGGAAAAAGTCCTTAGAACAAGTAATTATATAAAATTCACCATAAATTTTCAGAAAAGGTAAACTTTTTTTTTTTAATAGTCAAGTGTGAAAGTCTTAAAAGAGGGGTTTTAGGAGACCCAATTAGGATGATAAGAAAATTCTCCAGTTAAGAGTTAAAACATGAAATCCAGGATTTTAAAGTTGCACAGAGCTGTCAATGACTAAAAGAGTCTCAATTCATGTTAGTTTTATCTATTATATTAACGTTTTAACATACTGTTTATAGGGTACCAGTTTCTTTATCTGATCATATCATAACTTTGCATTTGCATGTACATATTTTACATTAATTTTTTAAAACTTGGAGTTGGAATTGCACATTGTAATACGTGCACACAAATGTGTGATGTGTGATTTAACTCTGCAGAGCTCCTTGTCTATACATATGCATTAGCATGTGTATTTTCGTACTCCACACTCACACCATACACTCTCACTCTGCACCTGCTTTTATTGAAATGCATACACTTTGAAATAAACACACTACATGCATTCATATGAATGTATAATCATTAAAATAAATGCAGCTGTGTGTGTGAGCGTGTGCGTGTGTGTGGTTTCTAAGTATGACCACCAAAAACACATGTATGCTTGCATGTTTAAAAGCTTGTTCCCCAAAAGTGAACACTTAAATATACATAGAAAATTACGCTTATTTAAGTCAAAGAGCCTCACATATGGCCAATATCCACTTTGACTGAGGATACCAATTACCAATATAAAGGTTTAAAACCAAATCCCTCTACCACCCAGGGCTCCAAATAATTTTTATGGTAGTAACTTTTTTCTACATTAGCTCTTTTTAATAAAGAGAGCTCGATACCAAAGCTGTCACTGTTTTCATTCCCCCACCACCCTCAGGAAAATTTAAGTCACTGTTTTTGATGTTAACCACAGAGATAACTATCTTTTCAAAGAGATTAATATAGCATAAAAAGAGAGTGAATTCTAATTCTGCCATCTTTCCAGCAGCAAATCCTAGAGAGATCCATGGAATCAGTCAATGTGAGAACCAAATGCAGAACAAGTGGTCAAATCTTTAGAGTAATGGTGTGACATCAAAACCCAAGAGAAGAAAAACTGTACCAATGGAAAGTGACTTCACACATCCCTCAGCTAAAGTCTCTTGTCATTCTTCACCATATAAAATACATTCCTTAGTGCTTTAAGAAATAATAAATTGCTCAATTTTTAAAACATTTATCAGTAAATCTGTATTTCATTTGTGTTCATGTCAATGTTGTCTTTGTGGGCTTTCAATTAAATTGACAAGCATTTTACTGATCTATTATGTAGAAACCTATTTTTTGCCCAGTACTGAGAAATACTAGCAGTTACTGCTATTTCCAAAAATAAAGAATGCTGCCAGAAACAGGATTATCTACAGGTTGATTCTTGATTCATTCATTCATTCATTCAATTCTTTAAATTACTGCTTCCCAGTTGAATATGGTATCATGAAATTTACCAGATAGTAATGAACACATTTTCAAGTTGCAAAATAGAGAACTAGGTAAAATCATACAATCTTAACCTGAGACATAACCTTCTGCAACTACCCTTCAAGAAAGACAAATGATGCACAAAAAACAGATAAAGAAAGTGAAAACAAACACTGAGTTACTTAAGTTAGGAGGCTTTGTCAGGCCTCCTAACTTTCAATCCAGTTAAGGCAAGCCAAAAATAAGTCACTGCTGGGATTCTCCTAGGTATGGAAACTGCCAACAAGGAATTAATACTAGATTATTTTTGTACCAGAATCTCATTCTTATAATCATGTAATAAACAAAATAACTTAAATATGAAAGGAAAGTATGAGTCAGGCCAAAAAACAAATTGACGAAAGAAAGAACAGTGGTAAAACAAGAAAGTTGAAGGACATAATGTCCTGATTTCTAATCAAAGTTACATGTTCTCTTGGTTTTTTTAGTGTGCCTGGGCCAAAAATAAACACCATACATATTGTATTAATTTCCAAAAAAAGAAATTAAAAAAAATTCCTCTCATTCACAATTTAATAGAATGGATTTGTTTCGGGCTTTTCATCTTAAGGCCTTCCCATACCATATTATCACTCTTTCTCCAGGTCCCTCTAAACATCTTCCCTGCTGATGGTATCTTCACAGGTATTTGCCCAGGAGGACAAAGGTGTGAATACGAGGAGGTATATGCAGATCTCAGGGAGAAGTCTGCAAACTAAGGTCTGCCTGCCAAACCTATCCCGGAGGCCAGTTTTGTAAACACCAGGACACTCACATCCATTCACCTACTGTCCGTGGCTGCCCAACACAGGACACTGTGACACAGCTCTTACGGCCCTCAAAGCCTAAAATGTTTGCTATCTGGACTATTACAGAAAAGATTTGCTGATCTCTGATCTAAAGAATGAAGTTTGGAGGAATACTAACAACAATGTAAAGGGGGAGAGGACAAAGCTAAAAAACACTTTAGGTTAATAAGCCATATGTATACGTATATGTATCTTCCCCCCGCCCCCGCAATGGCTGTTCAAATTAAATGGCAGAAATTGCTACTGAGTACCACAATGTTTTTGGGTTCCCCCCGCCAAAAGTTGTACTGGAACATAAACAGGGCACGTTTACATGGTCATGTTTGACACAGGGCTCACAGGAAAGACAGTAGTAGGCTAGAAGCCAGGAGTCCTACCAACGGCCCTGACCAAATCATGAAACATTTCTCAATCTGCTACTACCACCAGCCTATGCTCTCATTATGTAAAAGGATAGGTAATGCCAGTTCAAAATATAATTGACAGTGAATTTATTCTTTCAAGGCCCCTGAATCAAGATCGATCTGTATATAGTTCTTTCTTGGAAGTTTATGACAGGGAAAGGAGTGATAAAGCTTAGGCACCCCCAAGAACAGACAATACGATCACATGACAGGAAGAATTAAATGTTAACACAGAGTAAAAGTACAAGGATTAGTAGATGGGACTAAAGAAAGAAGAGAGAAAAAGAGAGAGAGAACCATTACCAAGAGAACAAAACTGACCTGAGTTCTGTTAAAAGCCACACGTGCAAATACGGCTTGGGAGATTCCTGCCCGTTTCAGTTCATCACGTACCCACTGGTAGATTTCGGAAGACACCTCTGTGTTGGTGGAAACCTGTTGCTCCAAAGGCTTATTCATAGATCGACTGACAGGGGGAGGGTGGTTCAAGTACTGTTGGTTTAAGGACTGCTGGGCTAAAAGTCTATTCACCGCATACTGCTGGTTCAGCAGCTGAGCCATCACCAGCTGCTGGTTGACCAACTGAGGACTGATGGGCGTTGACACAAGCCCAGGGTGCAGGTTCGGTAGAGGGGTCCGGACAGAGGGCTGGCTGCCGTGGGAGAGCTGCGCGGGGGACGGAGGCTGCTCGGCTGTGTTCCCTGGGACCGGCTGCTGGCCAAAGTTGACATGATTGGCACCTTGCTGGGATAGTTCAGAAAGGCTATCCATTTCAACTAAAGTAGACAAAAGGAAAGTCAGGTTAAGCCAACAGCGATGGTACTGATAAGGATTTCTGACCATTTCCTAAATACAGACAGTAGGCACAGGGCACATTAAAGATCCAATTAAACTAAGAAAATTTCAAGATGGAACTCAATGGCTATGTTTTTACTTCCCTCTTCTGCACAACTCTACAAACTTTGAAAGGGGTACTATCAGGTACTTCAGGTCTAATTTTATAATGCGGTTTAGACTTAAGGCATAAAATTAATTATTTTCAAATTCTATGTGACTAGTTTTGGGGTCAAACTATTATTCACTCTCACTACTCCAAGAAGGCTTATAAGCAATGGCTATTTTAAAATTAAAATAGCTTCTAGAAGAACACAGATTGCTTAATAGCAACTAGAGCTAAAAAAATACATGCATTAACGAAAAAAGAAATATACATGTATTTTTTCATGATATATATTAACTGTTATTACTCGAGGCAAAAGGTTTGAAAGGAAAAAGAGGACATAAATGTTATCTACGGTCAATTTTTACCTAGCCATGAATATATAAAGAAGTAACCAATATAATAAATAAAATGATCATAATGATAAGTAATAATAACTGAGGACATATTGAACACTGGGGTTGGGTATCTTATATGGCTTGCTTCATTTAATTCTAACTATCATGGGTGGCAGGTATATCTGCAAGAGAATGAAGCAAATGATTTACTGTATTGCAAGCCAGTATACCTAGTTTTGCTAAGATCCAAATGTTTCTTGAAGAAGCTATGGCTATCACCAGATGCTAAAGACAATCTTTCAAGGAAGGGGCGGGGAGTCATCCCGGTACAATGGTGATACTGTCACGATTTTGCAATTTATTATCACCTACCAGGATGAATGCTTCTCCCTTGGCTAGGTCTCTAATGTGGATTGGCTGAGAGTCAGCTGTAAGTATGTCAAATGTTTTGCTGTTGCAAGGAAGAGACTGGTTTGATGCTCTTAAATGGAAAGGCCGAGCATGGTTGGTGTATGTAAATAGGTGAGTCTTTTCCAAATAGCACACTATGTTTCTGATGTATAGACTCTGGCTTGATTTTAACCATCATTTCTCTCTTTATTAAATATTCAGGCTTTATATTTAGAGGAACTTATCATATTGCCATAATCACTGATATATGCAAAATATAACTAAGAATTGGGAAAGAAACCTTCCATTTCTACCAGTGATATCAGCCCAAGTGGGCCATTCACAGGGAATAGTAATTCAAGCAATTATTCCAAAAATGATGCATTGTCTTCATTACAGCTCTAAGCTATAAAAGGCAAAGAATCTGTTTTGGTAGATGGATGGCTTTGCTTCAAATATTAAAAGCTAAAACATGCTCAAAATTCAGGTTCTCTTGTTTCTTAAAATCTTTAGGAGAAGTCATTATTGTTGTTGTTGTTATTAAATGGATGCAATGGAAGGAAAAAGAAGCAGATTTAAAACAGGGCACAATGCTATGCATATTAAACATCCCGTTCCTATATTATTTGGAAGGTACGAGTATGTGGAAGAAAAGATTAATAGAAATTAAAACATTAACCTTGATCACAGTGTTTGCTTTTGCAACACTAGCAAACTCAAAAGGGAGAAAACGTCATAATCTAAATGCTCAGGCACAACACACAACTTTTATCTGTCGTTTTTTACACTGCCGATAATTTTTAATGCATTTCCTGCATAATGCATATTGACCTGAAGTTACATGTGAAGATGGGCAGCCATATCGGAATTAAAAGTTGAGAAATGGTGTAATGAGGTCTCCCGTATGGATGGTGAAGCAGTGTGCTCACCGAAGTGCCTATCTAGAGGGGCTGGGGATGAGAGCTATAAAAATCACTTGATCTCAATTGTGGAAACTATAAATACAATTTAATTTCCTTAAAAATTGGGTGTAAAAATAGGCACTTTCTCTCTCTCTCAAACAAAAACAAAACACATAAAAGCATGATTTATCTCTGAGAGAAATCACAGCTAATATTAGTTATTCAAGGCCTGGTTAGGTCTTCACTGAGATGTTAAAAAATGACAGCTTCCCTCCTCCCGCCTCGATTTCCTGCATGTCTGACAACCAAGTCAGTTTGGCTGATTTAAACACAAACATTTATTGAATTTAATTATCTCATTATACTCATACCACTCCCCACCCTCAAAGAAACATTCTAAATTGATCTCTAATTGGGCAATCACAAGACCTGGCTTTAGATGTGACTTTGATAAACCCCCAAATGACACATAATGGTATGTAGCCACCACTGCAACAGTTTTTTGCTTACCCATCATATCTTTTGTCTTCTTGAAATGTTTGTACCACCTTCCAAATTCTTGACATTTTGCTGCTGAGACATTTGCATAGTAAGTGCTGTTCACAATGGAAGAAATCATACTCTGCATGAAGAGGGGGGGAAACATTTGTAATACATATCGGCACAAGATGGAACACAAAAATGATTTCAATTGTGTAAATGGTATTTTTTTTAATCAACTGAGTACCAATACATTTCTGTTTCGCACTTTGGCTTAAAGCCTCAACTTCTTAAAATTCATTAAGTAGCACATCAAATGCTTATTTAAGGAGAAAGCAAGAGTCCACTGAGACCAGTATAAAGCTATCAAACCAACAGACTTTGCTCTAGTATTTATGGAACTTCTATCAATCTCATCTATTCTTAGGCTGACAAACCTTCACTGATCCCAATAAATACAAGTACGTGAAGATGACTGTACGATTGCAATTCATTAATAAACACTACTTTGAAGTTAAGTGACTGTACTCTACATCCCTGCTACTCAAAGTATGGCCCAGGGACCAGCAATATTGGCATCACCTGGAAGCTTATTAGAAATGCATAATTTTAGGGCGCCTGGGTGGCTCAGTTGGTTAAGCGACTGCCTTCGGCTCAGGTCATGATTCCGGAATCCTGGGATCGAGTCCCACATCGGGCTCCCGGCTCAGCGGGGAGCCTGCTTCTCCCTCTGACCCTATCCCCTCTCATGCTGTTTCTCTCTCTCTCTCTCAAATAAATAAAAAAAAAAAAAAAGAAAAGAAATGCATAATTTTAGGGGCACCTGGGTGGCTCAGTTGGTTAGGCATCTGCCTTCGGCTCAGGTCATGATCCCAGGGTCCTGGGATAGAGTCCTGCATCAGGGTCCCTGCTCAGCAGGGAGTCTGCTTCTCCCTCTCCCTCTGCCGCTCCCACCACACCTCCCTCCGGCTTGTGCTCGGGTGCTCTTCTGTCTCTCTCTCCCTCCCCCCCAAATAAATAAAGTCTTTAAAAAAATAAAAAAAAGGAATGCATAATTTTGGGCCCTACAAGTTTAGCAAGATCCCCAGGGGATTTGAGTGTACATAAGGCTTGGGAAACACCACTTGCACTTTCTACTCCAATAATCTGGGTTTCAACTGGAGGTGCATTAACTACATTAACACTCTTCAAAGGTTAACTGACCACATTTAAGATGAAAACAAACTATTCACAGAGATCCTCATTCAGAGAAAGAAACATCCTACAATCTTACCGCTAGCTTCAAGTACAGTAAAGCCAAGTTCTGAATTTCAAACTAACCATAAAACTTTAAAATATACACATTTCATGCTTACTAAATTTCTCAAGGATACCACAGAAAAGAAAATGACCTATTTTGTCATTTGTCTTCATTCTGCTTTTAACAAAAACCCTGAAAACAAAGTCAACAGTTTAACATATAAGAACAAAGACAGGAATGAGAATAATTTTTGGAGGTTTTGTTTTTTTTTAAACTCATTTTCAACAAACAAAAATGTTTTCTTCCCAGCAAATTTTGGTTATGGTAATTTCAAGTAACTTAATTCATTGTTATTTTTAACCCTAATACCCATTACCTAGTAGCGGTTCAATTAATTCCCAACTACATTTTAGGAATAAAATGCACCACCAATCCTTCCCCAGCTCCTCTGTATAGAAACACGAGAACTTACATTTCAGACTTCAGTTGGTCTATGGTGAAATAGTTTACAGAAGGAAGCACTGTTTCGGAGGCAGGGAACAACCAGAAAAGCCAGTTTGGGGACAAAAGTATTTTTATATCATTATCTTCTTTAAGCTACTTCTAATTTAGAGTTCTTTTGGTTATTATTGATTCTCCTGACATCCAGTATCAGTGTTAATATTATAACATGAAGACATTCCTATAATATGTAACTCTTGGGGATCTTTGAAGAACTTCCTGTGAAGTTGTATTATTTATGTAAAATATGGCTATCTTTCCTAAGAGGCACCATATCTTTTTTTTTTTTTTTTTGGACACTTTCTATTTTATAGTCATTTTCACATTTTATTTCTCTAAAAAGACATTCTTAATGTGCTTGTAGTTCTCTGCCATTAATCCAGTAGCTTGCAATTTTACTAAGAGCCTCCCTCAGTCCAGAGTACAAAAAAGATACTTAGCAAGGTTGCCAAAACCAGAGCCAGAAGATTACCTGATCCAGTTAACAATCTGTCAGCTTCAATCACACTTACTCTATTGTAATAATGGATCAATAAAGTCAGACACTAATAAAACTACTGAAATTGCTGATGGATAATGGTGATTCTGCAAATGGATGACAGTTGATATTCTTCCACTTTGGTCCAATTTTTAAGACATTATTACTCTTATTCCTAGACATTCTGGCAGTTTCTTAAATGTCTATATAATAGTACATATAAGTTTTAGATGTAGTTTATGTCTTAGTTTTCAAAAATGTATGGGAATTACCTAAATTTTGCTGAGGTTTCTGACAGACATTCAGTCTATTTCAGTTTGCCAACAGTTCTGTATTTGCTCTTTGCCGCACACCTACTATGTGCCTGGCCGGTACTAGGGATACAAAGGCGGATTAAGACACAGCCTCTGCCTATAAGGACTTTACCATCTATTAGGGAGACAAATACATAAACAGATCACTTCAATTTAATGTGATTTAGGAGACCAACAGTGGAAAATATACGGGGGGACAAAAGGAAGAATACATGGTATGTGGAAAAACAACCCATCTGAAATATTTTTATAACATTAGAGCCCGTATGTAATAGTGCTATGTAGTTCATTATTATCCATATGTGGAAAATAATATCCATATGTGCATGATCATCAAAGCTTCCTCCTGCCCTTGTTTAACCCTAACTTGGAAGGCTCTGCCCTTAAGTGACTTTTTGGATGCTTTCTACTCTGTCAAGTGGTGTGTGCTTAAGAAACTCTGATTAATGTAAATATTAGCCTAAGCAAGACGTAAATCAAAAGGCTAATCCGCAGGGTATGACACATGCCAAGGCCACTATTTAAATTCTCTGACTTTCTGCGCTTTCAGGGGGCTGGAAAATATTCCATAATTCAGGGTAACTTGGGGTAAACTCTATTTTTATTGGAACAATATGCAGTAATCTCTAAGACTAAACTGCTCAAGTGGCCACTGCATGAGGACTTTTTCTTGCAGTAAAATCCCTATTGGAGACTTAGGTGTGGCATCTGACCGGACTACAGGTTTCAGGGCAAGAAAGAGAGATTTCAGAATCTTGTGGGGCACATGGCGTTTGAAAGATCGTATTTAGTACTGGTTCTTAAATGTGGAAAATCATAAAGAAACGCCTATTACTTGGGTAACACAAATAACAAAATCAAGGGGGGGTAAGATTTTTGCTAGAGGATGAGGATAGGCAGGGGGGAGGCAGACCAAGATCCACGTTTTTAAGGAGAGATGCTTAGGATTCTTACGTCAATCAAAAAAACACTTTGGTTTAAACAGATTACACTAAGTTGTGAGTTTATGCAGCTCTGGGGCTCCATATTCTTTTCCAGCCCAAATGTCTGGCATACACTAAACACACACTAAATATTCATTTGATGAAAGAGAATAGCTAAATCCGCATTTAAGTCCAAAATGTGTAGCACACTGGCAGTGTGACCTTGTTCAAGGTAATTGACTCTCATTCTACCATAATCCCCCTTACTAAATGGGAATCATAGCAGCACTCACTTCATAGGGTTGTTCTGAGAATCCATCCATTTGGGCATGGTTTTTTTCATTCATTCGGCATATAACTACTGAACTCCCACTAGGTGCCAAGCACTAGGCAAGTTACTAGACAAAGAATGACCTGAAGAGAGATACTATCTACACTTACACAGACAATAAATAAAATAATGAATGTTACGCAATTAGCACAGAGCTGGGAACATACCCGAGTATGGACTTAAGAGATGTTAATTACTATGACAACCCTCTGCCTCCTCCTCCTCACTGGCTTTTATTATATGATCACATTTCAGATCAGTCGAAAGACTATGCTTTAAATAACAGAAGAGTATCAGAATTTCCAAATGATGTATTTTAAGTCAAACACATTTTCTTATGAAGAACAGAGAGTCTACTAACTAAATTTATTAAGTTATAAGTTGGGTCAAGGGACCATGAGAAAACCACCAAAGGAAAAAAGTATTCCCCTCCTTTTTCTCAATATTCCAGTCTGGCAGTATCTGGTGAGGCTAGCCTGTACCTGACAGCTGGCCTCGGGAAGACAAACACCACTTCTGTGACGTGGATTTTCGAGCCATGCCCTCTCCCCTCTCTGGCTAATAGCAGCTCATCCTTCAGGACAGAGTTCAGGGATCCCCACTTCTGCAAAGCCTTTCCTGACTTAGTGTCCATCCGGCATACAGCACCTCCGCAGCACTCTTCTTCCGGCTGTGAGTCTTGGGTCTTATCTCTCCCCTGGACTCACCACAGGGCTGGGCACGTATTAGGTGATCAGTCAAAGGACTAAAGGTCACTGAAATTAGCCATTACTGCAGGCTACCAGAAAATCCTTTTTTTTGTTGTTCCTAAAGGTCAAAGGTGAATGGCAGCTTATCACATGAATCTTTTAAATGCATCACTTTTAGCTGTCATGATAGAACTCATAGTTTAAAGAAACTTTGTTCATTAATTTGCAAGAGATCCCTTCCCAGGTTTTTCAAAATACATCCACACAGATGTCTCGGAAGTCGCAGTGCTTGGTGGTTATGTTATTCCAGTTCTCTCTCTCTCTCGGTGTCTATTTATACAAGCTCTCCAAAGCACTTGGAAAAAGGCACGACTTGTATCGTAAGTTTTCCTATTCAGTGGCCGGTCTCTGCAGAATGTCAGTGTTCAGGGAATAAAATAATCAGGCTGACCAAACTCAGCTCAAATCCCAAGTTCAAATGCCACACAGTACACCAACCAATGAATAGGCCCATAGCTTCCAGTGTTGGGAAACGCAACCTGAAAGTTGGCAGAAATTGGCTGTGGGTCTCATAACCCCAGTGTGACACAATATTCTCATCCTAGGAGCCAAGTTGTAAGCTTTTCTAAGATCCATAAAGCACATGTCTGCTCCCTATGAAGAGCT